ACCGCCCAATTCGAGCGCGTGGCAAGATGTGACCGCCCGGCGATCGATATTACTATGCGCACATCTCGCCACGCGCTCGAATTGGGCGGTAGGCCGGCCTAAGACAACGATTTTTAATAATTAATTACTCGTTAACTATTACGAAAATTGCAAAATGGTACAGAACTTTTCCGTTCATCTCGATCTGTTCTACCTTCTCAAAAATTTTGTCGGATATGGAAAGACTCACCCTGTATATACAACATAACAAGAATATTCTTATGTCGCCAGCAGTAAGTAACAACTTCAGTGTTTTTACTGACCTTATCAGGCATTTTTAATAATACAGAAAATTTTTTGAGGCATGCCTCAGTGGTCGAATTGGTGAGACGTCCGCCTGGAGAGTAGGGAAGTCCAGGTTCAAACCCTGACTGGGATAATATTTTTCGCAAAAAAATTTCTGTATTATTAAAAATGCCAGATATGGTCGATAAAAACACTAAAATTGATATATACAATATATTCCATGCATCAAAATCATCAAAATTTAGTTTAAGCATACCTGAACAAGATCCATGCGAGAATCCAATGAAAATTGCTTGCCTGACATTAATATTCCGCGAATGCGACGACGTATGGCTAAAAGCAATATGAAAAAGTATATTGCTTAGACTGTCGAAATTTACTTAAGTTCAATTAATCTACGAAATATACTATTAAAACACACACACACACAGTGCATTAGTTACACACATTCATTTTATTATAATATAAATTTTTATTCTGCTAATTTTATCCTCATTTTTCATATCCATGTAAATATGTATATAACTTGATTTCATATCTCATATGAAATAAATATACATTAAATACAACTAATCAATTGTGATCAATTGCCTGCAGTATAAATCGCTTACAACTCGTTCTTAATGCATTAAAATTGCATAAGTGGTTTTAATTAGACAATAGTAATATTAATAAATTTATATAAATATTTTCCCGTAGAAATAAAAGATAATATATATTCTTTAAATAAACATTAATTTATTATAAAATCACATAACTTATAAATATAAGTATTTACCTGGACTGTCTCTCGCCTCAAGATGAATTTTCCCAAACGTTTTCATACATTCTTCAAATACATCGGCTGTGTCATATATTGCGGCAAAACTACCGTTTACGATTTTCGGAGACATTGGCGAATTAGCTAATAGTAAGCTCGATCCAAAATTTTCATTCTTCTGTCGCGTGTCTGCAAGTTATCAAAATGATTACATATTTTTTATAACAATATTAAATATTACAAATTAATAAATAAGCGAGTCAATATAAGTAGTCCATTTCAAAAGAGTCCTTGAAATGAATTAAAGATGACTATTGCAAACGTTAAATAGAGCTTTCCAATCTTTTTATGAACATGTATAAAATTCCAATTTATTTCATTAATTAGATTCATCTTTTTATAAATATTTTAACAAACATATTGGTGTAATTTTTGAAAAACAAGTAAACTTTAAGTAAGCTGTAATTAAATAGCTACGAATTAAAGTACAATTTTTGTTATCGCATCTTTCTTATTTGCTTGGTTAACTCCGTCGAACTTCTACCTATTCCTACGGTTAAAGAAAATTTTTGCTAGGAAGAGACTTTCGGATAGAGACATAAGCGGCAGTTGACGGATATTTTGCATCACTTGACAAATCGCAGTTTCGTAATGGAATAATTACCTTGGAACATACATATGTGACTCAAGTGCATTTATAAAGAAAAATTATGTTGAACAATAAAAATAATTACAAAAACAATTTTTTCATTTTATTTCAAGAACTTTTTAAATGTCCTTGTGTAAAATTCGGTTATGCGAAAATTATTTGTGACTCACCTTTGAGAAGTGTAATGTGTATGGAGTAAACGAGCAATCATGTGTTCATAGTAACGAAAAAGATAAAGCGCCATTGTCTAAGCGTAACAAAGTTATTTATTCAACAGCACTATCACAACAAATGTAGTGAAAAGAAATCAATAATTAAACTTTAAAAAATATAAATGTCGATTTAAAATTGAATTTAATATAAACCAAAAATTTAACGTTACTTAGAATTAAGATTTTCTATTTTTAAATATTATTTTTAAGTATAGACTTTTATAAAACTTAAATAAATAAATAATTAATACATTATACATATATATGTATACACATGTAACGGAAAATAATTAACATATCGCTATGACAAGTCACAAACTATATAACAAATATAATTGTTGTATATTACAAAACTGATATTGTGTTAGTGCACTATTAACAAATGAAATGAATAATTACTATAAACAACAAAAATATTTCGGATTATATGCATGTATATGTATGTGGACAATTTTAATTCGTTATATTTTTGTAATAAAATTACGTATGTAAACGATAAGGTGTAAAATCTTTCAGATATATTTTCTGTGACACAATTTATTATTACATATGGTTCATTATTATCCGTTAAACTGATTGAAGCTGTCTTAGTCTCGGCTTGTTATTACCTGCGAGAGGAACTCTAGCTCGTATAGCTGATTGGGTATTATCACCCAAGATTTCATTAGCGGTACATCGTATTTCTGCCCAATCCCTTAGAATATCTTCATTTGTAGTGCTGCAAGTACCAGATTTTATTGGAGAAAATCCGTTAAGTTAGAATGATCAGTGTAGCAAAAGTAATAAATATATGTATGCATTTAGAAAACGTCTTCCCTTACAGAAATGTAACGACCGGAAACGAAAAAGCACTGAGCAATTACTAGAGTTCAGTAATTAAATTATTGGAAATTACTGATGTACAGTAATTTTCTAGTAATTATTTTGCTTACATACATTTCTATAAGGGCTCTCTCCCTGCCTGACCTCTTTTACCCGTAAGGAAATATTGCAGAGTTTAAAGAAATTGTTTCAAATTCAATTCAATACATGAATATTAAAGAATAAATATGCAGACATACTTTGTCGAGGTAACTGTAAATCTGATAACATATTTTCCATGCAAGGCGGCTGGCACACAATGCAGACGGCCCCGCGAATTAAGCTTCTTTAGCAAACGTTCTGTCAAGGTGTTCTCGCCGCGAAGACGAAAGACCACCATACCGAGATGTCTCAGAGCAGGAATTTCAAAGCGAGCATCAGCCAAAACCAGAGCTTCGAACTTCTGGGCCAGCCGCACGCCCTATGAATATAAATTTCAAATTTATATCATGCGTTTCATATACGTAGCAAATAAAAGAAACTCTAAACAAATTTATAATTCTCTCCCTAAACATCTTTCATTAGATTTAAATTTTTTGATCGAAATATGCATATTTATTTTACATTATTTACCTCTCGTATATGTTTCTGCAAGCCAGTAATCCCATAATTTCTGATAACAAACCACAGTTTTAGAGCCCGAAATCTTTTAGATAGAGGAATCTGCCAGTGCTAAAATTAACATTAATACAAAATATATTATTACTAAACCTACATATTATTCTTTTTAGGAATGTAATACAAGAAAATGTTATAAAACCAAATTTTTCTTAAAAAAGTTTTAGTTTTCGTACTCGACGTTGCCTGGACTTGTATCAAGAATGAAATCAGAAGGAAGAAGTGGAATGTCCAGGTTTTATGATAACTTATATTTTTTAATCCTAAAAAAACTACACAAAATTTGGCTTAAATCGGTCGAAAAATTTAGGAGTTTACAGAGAACATATATACACATATGTAGATAATACCGAGAAACTTTCCATTTTATACATATACATAGATTATGATATTAACAACGCATCTATTACTTACCATAAAATCGATTGCAAGGCCTATTTAAAAAACAGTTTTACATTATTATAAAAGAACATTTTGTACTTTTTTATAACATAAATTCGTAAGGATTAGTTACATTCAAATTATATATTGTCTTTATGTAGATAAATCTTATAAATTTATGAAAAAATTTGAAAAATTTCTGAAACAAAATCTTAAATCTGGGATCTAATTATTATTATATAATAATTAACTTTCTCTAATGGAATTTTACATGGAAAATTCTTTAATGGTTAATTATCAAAGGACCCATTAAGTAATGTTTTATTTATAAAATTACCTGAATTTTCGTGCTTCAAATATAGCGGATCGACATTGAAAGTTCTGTGTAGCGCTTGACTGTTCTTTACCCTTAAACAAATATGTATCAAGAAAGACTTATTGATCTCATTTCTTCTTTGGCCACTTATGCGTATTTATTACATTCGATGAGTATAGAAACTTTTATATGTAGTGCTTCATTTAACTTAATTTGTGTGCAAAAGTATTTGTTTACATTTTCTAGCTTATTTTATTAGTTTCAATTAAAAATTGAAGTTTTAAGATACACGTTATTTACAGAAACGTGAACTATTCGAGAAAGGTTCGCTAAATAGTTATCCTTACAACAATAGCAATGGTAGATTTTCAATTACGTAGTAGATGCGTTTATCAGAGATATAGCATTTTTGCAATCGTATTTCGCAAATTTTCAGGCTTTTGTGGTTTTTATTTATTCGAATAAGATATGTTTTATACAAGACTTGCTTTTTAATTTTATCTTAATAATTGTATGCGAAAAAAGAATACACTCTAAATATATCATAACATAAAGCAGTAAAAATTATCATAAATCATATTACTTCGTACTATCGACTTTAAACGCAATTGAAATAATATTCCGAAAGATTGTGAACTGCGTTCGATCGTTGGAACGGTCTCGAAAGGAAATTGCGGAAGGAATGGAAAAAGATGACCGTACCCTGCAATCCAACTAATAAAAGGAAAATTGAGGGACGATAGAAAATCTTACGAGGCACGTGGCTTGCTTTCTTAAAATTAAAATAACGTGCAATTAATTAATAATATATTTCATAAAAAGTGCAAGCTGCGGTATTACTGTTTCTTAGAAATTACGTAAGTTTCCTAATTAAATTTATATTTATTCATTATGCAAATATTCAAACTACTGTTATAAATAAAAAACTATTAACATTTAGCCATTAAGTCATAAGGAAAATTTTGTTCATACCACATGGCTGTACAATCAAAGTGGACCATAAGCCACTTGCTTGGATTGAAGGCAATGGAATCAGTAAGCTCTATTCCTTGAAGCCAGCCGCGAAATTCCGGACATATGAAAGCGCTACCAGCATAGGCCGCATCGACGTGTAACCATAAACCATTTTGTTGACCTGTAATGACGTAAAATATTCCGGAACTGTCATAACGTTTTGGAACATAAAGTCTGGTGATGAAATTGCTTTGAAATTGACATAGAAAAGTATTAAAGTATTTCAAATAAATTTGATACTCACATATCGGTCCAATTTCCTTAAGATTATCGAAGGAACATGCACCAGTGGTGCCTAAAGTCGCACATACCTATCATAGATAACAAAATCATTTTATACATATTAAGTAAAGAATAAATTTCTTAAATAATTAATGGGTTAAAAATTTTTAGGTTTTCAAATCATATAGAGAGAAGAGATAAATTAAGTTTATTCTGAATTAACCAAAAATTTCTTATATTCATGTGTTGAATGTTATTTAATGTTATAAGAAATATATTTGGGATTTACTTTTCTTGAAAATTAGATATAAAAGATTTAATATCGTAGAAATAAAGTACAAAGCATAGAAACTCATTGTAATAAAATTATATTTAACTATATTTAACCTAATTCGTTTCAAATTCAATTTCTCTCATTAATCTTACGCATATTGTCGTCGCTTCTTTCTCTCTTTTTAAAAACAGAATTGAAGCAGAAACATTTACGTTGTAACACATATTAACAAAATTAATCAATGCCGAAATAACTGACTCTTAATAGTGCAATATCTGTGCTATCGTTGTAAAAAACGTATCATTGGCAAAATAAATCCAGGGAATATTATTATATTGCGGAAAATCTCGATTATAAATATTTTTCATTGTGAACAAAGACTCAAATCAGACTACGAGGCTCCTATGGGACCAACTAGCGTGACGTCGATCCGGCTTTGCTCGCCGAACCCGTGCGTCTGTTACTACTTGCAGGGAATACGTCTATAATTGGCGCACCGGTCCGTCCATACATACAGACTAACTAGCTCTTGCGCCCACAACGTTAGCAGTCGCGGGTTTTGTTATCTTTATATTGTTATTAAATCTGCTATATTACGATTTACCATGACATATATAATAAAAGGTATAAGCTAGGTATAACAAATTCTCAACGAAAGAATATAATCTAATAAAATAAATGATAAAATTTAAAAAATATGTCAATGAGATTATTGCTTATAGATGTGTATGCGTGTATGTTAATATACATTCACGTATTGTATATAAATATATACGTATAATAAACTTAATACAGTTACATATTTAATAAAAATCAAGAAGCCAGCGGTATTAAATGTATCTAGTAAATGCGAAGATAATTTAAAATATACTAGAATATCCAGATTATACTTGAACGAAACAATATTGAAACTTACGAAGAAAGGAAGTAGGCCCTCAGCTCGATCGCGTGTTAATGCCTCAAGTAAAGCGTCTCCTCTCATGCTTAGCTCACTGTCAGATTCAACATATCGCATTCGAACGAGTCCTATAAGTCCAGCTTTTTCCACACTCGAATGTGCCTGTCGATCCAATAAAAATATTATAATATCGAAAAGTCATAAACATCTTTAAATTACAAAAATCGTTAAAAACAGTTTTACTTGTCTTATTCCGCAGATTTTTGTATTAATACAACTATTGATATTTTAGAGATGTTAATGAAAAAACAAAATTTTAACTAATATCTCATAAATCAAACTCTAAAGTAATTCCATTGTTTTTTAAAATGCTCGGAAATTAATATTTATGAGAGAGAGAGAGAGAGAGAGAGAGAGAGAGAGAGAGAGAGAGAGAGAGAGATCTAATATTTATAAAAATTTCAATAATTATGTTCACAACACACATAAATTTACTTATCAGTGAATTACAAAACCAAGCGTTCCATTTCTTTTTATTAATATATCTGCAATGAAATATCCTGAAAAAACTCCAGAAGCGACATACTCCAATACGGATAGTATACATCTCCGTTCATCCACGTAATGCGTCTAAATGTATTTTAAAAAGCTCTCAAAGGAACGCTGAAAGCTTGAAATTTTTATTCACCGCAATACGCAATATTTAACGTTCTCACTCCTATTAGCGTTTGTTATTTCTGTTCGCTACTTTCGCGATTGCTCCCAGCGGTCGCGCATACACTTTTAAATAAAACATCATAGAAATTTTTGCACTCTTACTTAATCGTCTAAATATGTTTGCGAGCACCTTATTTTCAACAAGAAAAAAGCAGCGGCTACAAACCTGATCCGAGCAGTATGCAACTAGTCGCGAATTGATCTCCGTCGCCAAACGATCAGGATCATTCTCCTGCACGTCCCTAATAGCTCTGGCTCTGGCCGCAAGCAAAGACACCAGCGTGGCTTCTGACGCCGTTGTTTGTATGACGCCACCGCCGCCGGAACCGCCCGGTCGATGTAGGAAATCTTCGGGTAGACCGATCATTTTACCTAGCCAGTTCATTACGAGTGTTTCTAGCTCGGTACACGCTGGACTGGAGGCCTATAGAAATAAACATATAAATTCGTATCGTATCAGGATGATAGGTCACTTCAACGGTTTTTAGAGATTGAAAGATAAAAATGGTTTCGATATTAAATTATATGTATATAATCTTCTATCGTTAATTAAATAATTAAAACACATTGACGTGTACGTGAAATAAATTATAAAGGGCATAAATTCCAGAAATTACAATGTGCGTGTATTTATTATAAATTATAAGACACTATGCAAAATGTTGTACCTACTTTAATTGCAAATTTTTACATACTGTTTTGAATCTTACTGAGATAGAAAATATGTTAAACTGATATCATTCAGAAACACTCTTAATTAATTTAATATACAAATTGCAATAATTATTAATTGTTTACACAACAACAAAAGACATTGTTAAATAATACACACGTTTGAAAAGAAATATCGGAATACCGTTGAAAGTAAAACTGGATAAAATTGAACTTACCCACGTGAAACCCAGACAGTTTATTGCGTCGGCCAGCATGTCGCCCAGCAGACTGGCAGGTGAATTCAGGGCCGGAAAGTAGGCGTGCATGTGCGGACTCTGCCAATGCGTCACACCCGGCATGATGCATTTCTCAATGTCGGCGAATATGTCCTCCCAGGGCTCGCCGTCCACGGGGGCCGACGCCGGCAGGACATTTCTCAAGTATCCCGGTGAGACTGCTGGATATACTCGCCGAGAACGGATGTTTGCTAGATAATCGGCGATGTAATCCACCATTTCCTTTCCTGCGCAATTTTCAAATATTTATGATTATTCTAGATCATTGTGCGTACAATGTCTGACGAGAATACTACCACGAGATCCATTCTCTCTTACGATTTACACATCTCAATTTAAAAAGTTTATTAATTTTTTACGTAGAGAAATCTTGGTAACCTATTGATAATATTTTGTGTAAATTTTGTATACTTTTTCCAACTCAACAAACTGTGCGCCGATTATTTGTCAATATTGCAATACAGTTCTTTGTTGAAACAGTAAATACTCAGATCTATTTGTCAATTTAACTTTTAAAGTCAACTATTAGCACGACCCAAGATGGCACTTTCTGCTATTTTATTTACATATTTATGGAAATAACAATTTATAAAAATTGGATAATATATAGAATATTAATTGTGATATCTATATAAAATAAAAATGAAATATATAACAAAAATAAACGAAGGTAAATTTAATTTTACATTTTATAATAATTTGCAAGAGTTACATTGAGAGCCATAAAATGATTACACAAAAATTATGACAATTTTATATTAAATTTTGAACCTTTTCAACATTTTTAGAATACTCCTCTTGACTTAATGTTAACATATTTACCATAAATATCTTAAACTGGAAAATGCTAGTAAATAAAGAATTATAAAGTGTTGATATACTAGGATTTAAAATCGTAATATTAAATAAACTGTAGGAAATAAGTTTGCGAATCCTCTTCGTTTAAGATTTAACACACTTGTCGTTATCTACAACTAAAAGTCATTAAACAGGAACAAAAGATGCTTCGAGAATCAAGGAGCTATTCTGTACTAAAGAAAAGACGCGATTTTTCACAGATTAGACTGCCCCTACTTCATATGTGTGAATTCTTTTGTCTCACGGTAAACGTAATCACTCTTTCTGTTATATGACGTCTCAAACAGAAACAGCATTCTGGCAAATGAAAATAGATAGTTTTCTAAATTCGTTTGTTCAATAATTGATTCTCTATCAAAATTATCCAGAAGAAAGAAAATCCAATTTGTTTTATTTATTGTTATTGGTAACAAATATGAATAACTAGATAATCCTGTATTACAATATAAAGCGATACGCATTGCCAATTCTAATTTACCAAGACAAATGGACAGAATAATCGACTAGGAATGAAATCGTAGAAGAAAAACGAGTTGAAACAAAGCCGTAGCGAGAGATTTAGATTGTAAACGATGTCGCGCATCGGAAACAATATCGCACCTATAAAGTCTCTACCAATTCGACCGGTGATCTCTATTTATTGAAACTGTTTCAGCGCCGTACAATCATTGCCGTTGCTGGATCGCGGCGGATTCCAACGTGTCAATTTGATTCAGATTTAGGTCAGTTGATCGATATATTTATGTTAATCAAATCTTTTCAAACTTTTGCAAAATGTTATCGTACCGACACTTTTACTTTATAAAATTATATAATATGAATTTAATGTTGTAGAATACGAATAACAGCTGACATGTAAAATCCAATAATTACACATATTGCCCAATTTTATTACGCTTATGTGCATACATATATTCGCTTACCATGTTTGCGGTAATCCTCTAAATTCATTTTATCTGTAACAGATAATATAAAACGTAACAATTGTAAACTACAATATTATTAACAGTTCCATTTCACATACACGCTTTTTAAAGATTCTTAAAAAAATTTTAGAGCGTGTCTTCTAATATAATATTACGTACAATAATGTAATATTTAAAAAAAATTATGTTAATCAAATCTTTTCAAACTTTTGTGAAATGTTATTAATATATCGATTATTTTCTTTGCTTTAAGAGAAATGTTAAAGAATCCTTTTTGTTGTAATTGATTGACATGGATAATCGAGTAGTGCGCCAACAAAAGACTCTTCTTCCAATAAAAACAGCTAAATGTCAAGTGTGATTTTTTTAAACTATACATGGTTTTAGTTTGAAGAACATGTCATGAAACTGCAAGAGATTTCGGTGTGATAAAAATATAATAAATTATATTACAATATATGACTTATAACGGTCTGAATGATTCCTTTATAATTGCGTATTGATCGTACGTTATCAGTAGCATGTGACAATTCCTCGTCAATTCAAGTCACAAAAATTATTGCACACTGATCTAAACTCGTTGCGTGCTCTCCGACTTATTATTATCACAAATCGGTGTTGTAAAATTGCAAAAATCTAGGGGCAAACTTGTACAAACACTTTCCCAATTACTCGATAAAGATACACGGAATTCACTCACGACAAGGTTTTTACATAGACACTGCCGAGGCGCGATTACAACACAACGAATGATGTTGACCTAATACAAAAAATCGCGATGCGAGTTCGCTGCTAATTTCTACGGATTCATCATCGATCGCGCGTTGGCGTCACATAAGTCGAGCTTCTTAGCGCAGGCGATCCGTTAAGATTTTCGTTTGGCGACACTGAGCTTTAGTCTTGTAATATTTAGATTAATTGTATCTCGGAATGACGTCACCTAGCGAAAAATTAAGTTAAATAGTAAGATTAAAAAGTAATAATCTTGAAAAAACAACGCTAATATTTATATGTTTATAGTCTCTTTACACATATTTCGATAATACGCATAATAGAATTAAGCTCAAGCATACAGATGCTAATAATATTATTATCAATTACATATAAATACGCAAATTGATATCTTTTATCGCTTCATCACAATTATGCCTATCGGATTATCTTATTTTAATATAGCCACGGATACCAGAATAATTATTTGAAATAAATTGATTTTAAAACATTTGTATAAAAATCTTTATCTTCGTATCAAGTCCAAAATCTCTTATTAATTATTAATTAAGGAAGAGATAAATATTCCCGATAGGTGGATCTCTGTTTATAACATTGACATTTAATCAGAAGAGAATTCAATCATTATAATTCACTTTGAACATTCGATCGTGCGTATTTGATCTGCTATTACAGTGCAGTTTTCGGCTTTGTGACGCTGTAATCAATTTCATATAGACACACAATGCAATGCAAATTTTCTTTTATGTAGAATAATGCAATGATTGCAAAAAGTAGAAAGAAAATTTTTGTCATTAAGTATGTGTTTTTTACAATTTCTCAACATAATATTATAATCATTGATATATTTGTATATCCATTGATGTCACGAATACAGAACGCTGCAGTATCTTTCCATAATGAATGATTGAATCACTGCGCACTTTTGATATAGAAATTGTACACGACACTATAAAGAGAGTCACATTACGGCGACAGATCTAAATCACAGTTTCGACAAGACGATCTTAGCAGAGACAAAAAGAATCGCGAGATGAGCGTAGAAAATCGAACTGGTCGCAGGCAGCAGCGAGGATCTAAAGCCAGAATGACGCCCGGCGATATTAAAAGCTCGTCCTTCCTCTGTTTCCGCTTCCGACTTTTGTAATTTCCCGTAGCTTTCACTGCCGCCGAGCGGTTTGCTGAGAGATTTATCCGCGACGCCGACGCCCGCGGATTCTCCATCAGTGATTCGCGATTCAACAAAGAAAATGCCAGTTAGGCATTTGATAGCGACATGATAGCGGTACTATCAAAACGCTCTGACGATTATCGAGTAATCTGAAGCGTGCTCAAATCAAATCGAGTTCACATTTCATTAATTCACATAGGGTGTTGCAAAGTTAAACGATCAGACTTTGCAAATATGTTCTACAGTATTAGAAATAAGAAATATGTTTTATAAACATTGGTACGAAAACTACTTTATTAAGGTAATTACAATAAAAATTAAACGTAAATTCATTGCTGTTGAATTTTTCAGCAACACAAGAGAACAAGTCGATATTTTTGTAATCTGTTTAGTTCAGCTATGTCTCTATATCATTTGAAATGATTGACTATTTTCGGTATCATTTATATCACTCTCAAAATATGTCAAATACAATTTTGCATCAAAATGCTACAAATGTTGTCAAATGAAGAGCATGTAGATATGACTTATGTAACTCGAGCTGTTGAGAGAGAGAGAGAGAGAGAGAGAGAGAGAGAGAGAGAGAGAGAGAGAGAGAGAGAGAATCTACAACATACAACTTATTTGTTGCATTGCTTGAAACAATTGTTATTATAAAGTTCAACACAATTGAAACTTTTCTGTTTTAATAAAGCAATTATTATTGATACGGGTAAATCACATGTTAAAATGATACTCACATAAATGATATCTGTGCAATACGTTTCTTCCACAATTAGCACCGTCTATCTCGATCGAAACAGACTCTCTTCCGCAATTAATTATTCACTTCTACAGTCTCAGATTAAACCAAATTATGTCCACATAAAGATAGTGATGAATCTACTTTCTTTTGCAAAATTGCGTTCAATAAATACATTTCTCAAATGCACGTAAATGTATTTTATTTTATGTGGATGTATTCTACATGTTTTCTACATTAAACGATTACGATATTTCTTACAGAGCATCTGAAATTTTAGATCCTTAGTTATTACGGTTACCACTACTAATATCATTTCATCTGGATAAAAATTCTCCATATTATAACAAAATAAATGTAGAAAAATCGTTGCTAGTGTTAAATTATAAGAGTTTATACGGAATTAGGAGATTTTGTATGTTCTTTTAAAACATAAGTATCATTTTAAACAATATTCACAAAAGTATCAAACCAAATGTATCGAAATGATTTGTATCAGAGAAAGTTGATTGTGCTGATAAATTATTTGTATTGTCAATTAGACATGAAGTTTATTATTGCAAAATTGTTATTACGATCATTATAAAATTATTTTTAACTTAATGGAAAATATGTATATTAGTTACGTAGTAACTTATGTCTTTGCGACCACTTTATAAGAACAATGATGCATGATAATGAAAAAAAAACAGAACTGTTACTTTGAAAAGTAGATTTCTATTTTTGATATGTTATAATATTCATAATAATGTGATTAAAAAAAGTGTCATAATCAACTGTGTGTTTAGATCTGAAATGCATATGAAACTAGTTCATTCTTTGATGAGCGTTAATTTGATTAATATAACTTATTAATTTGGTTTAATCAGCTGACCTGATAGGAAGTCCCACGTCAATCACTCTCGTGACGAATTGAGCTGGAGTTGTGTACTTGAAGTAGCACAATACCGAGAAATACCGTCGTGGTCACCCGTCGGATGTTCGCTCCCCTTTTCGTCCTCGAGGATATATCCGCGGCGGAAGCGAATCGGCAGAATGCGTGTCGCTCAACAAGTGGCTGCCTTTATATAGCGGCGCGCTCTGCGTACAATTCCTCTGATAGCGCAAGCGTAACGAGGAAGCCGGGAACGATGATGAGTCCTGTGACCACGATTTACTGCCCCAAGACACCACCCACCTAAGAAAAAAATAAGTTTACACAATCTTAAGGACGTTCCACAAACACAACGTAAAATAACACACAATCCGTATCTAATAATAATATAAAAATGTTAAGATATTTTAAAAAAATGAAATTTAAGCAATAAATATAAAAAATAGTGTATTCAAAACTTGTATTTTTATTAGCAACGTAACTTACTACAAAAGTTAAATTATTTAGTTTTATAAGAAAATCATATTTACATAATGATTCGATATCTCTTTTTGCATATGATACCTTAAAAAATATTCCTCTATACATGTAAGCGCTATTCCATTAGTAAAGAAATAGGAATCCAATATATAGTCCGAAAAGAGCGTTAAGTAAATAAATTACCAACGTCAGTATTTTCTTGACCATATCTGGCATTTTTAATAATACAGAAAATTTATTGCGAAAAATATCACCTCAGCCAGGGTTTGAACCTGGACCTCCCTACACTCTAGGCGGGCGTTTCACCAATTCGACCACTGAGGCATGTGGTAATATTTGTCGCAATAACAATATGAAAATGTTGTTTTCGCGTATATTTTTCGATTTTAAACTGTGCGCCGATTAGGGTTGTCGGCCGTACACAGAACTGTCGATACGCGATTTTCTTTAAGTATTCCTATCCCCTTTCACCCCCCCCCCATTTCCCAATTACGTACAAACACCATGTTTGAAGACCCGTGTGAAGTTAGCCCCCCAATATTGAAAAAAAAGTTTCTATAGCCCATTTGATTGCTCATCGTATGCACATGTATGCACATTTCGATTTTTCGTTTGCACACTCCTAATAAAAAAGTTATTAACAAAACAATTTTGGGGGGGCCAACTTCACACTAGCCCCACAACCAAGAGCAAATTAGATCGGACTAGACTAAATCGATAGATTTTCGTTTGCACATTCCGAAACAGGACGATTTTTCGTTTGCACCCTCTTGGTTAAAAAGTTGTTAACAATTAAAGTCTCGAGAGCGGTCGACAGCGGTGGATAAGATCGAAACATAGATAAGGCGTTCTAAATGATCGCCACTATTACAAAGTTATTGATATTATAAATTTTCGGACAGCTATTTGAGGTGGAAAAATACAGTGTTTCGAGCGCCATCCCCTCCTCGCTGTATCTTTCCATACCACGGCAAAAGGAAGACAATGCGCCGAGCGCCATCCCTTCCACACGTTCTGGTGACGGGCAGAGAGTCAGAGTTATTGTCTATGCAGAGATCAGCCTCGCTTCGCGTATCACTGTTTGGACCTAAGAATGCGCTGAGCATTTGTTTCTTGCTGTTTCTGAAGGACAACATTCGAACTCGACTATAGTAAAAGCGAAACTGCGACGCAAAGTCGAATAAAATATTGCATTTTGCATTAGTGCATACAATTATTTTGGACGTTGTACGTTTATACGTTTTACGTTTCGAAACAATATCTTATTAGTTTGCTTTGTTGTTGTAGTGCTTACTTAACAGGTAAAAGTATTCTGAAAAAGTATTTCCATTGACTATTTCATTGAAATAAGAACATGCCTCGTAAAGCTTGCGTAACAGCAAATAAATTATTTGAAGCCATAAAAGATACGGACTGTTTTACAAGTTGCGGTAGAGATCTTAAACCGCGATCTGATCCCGTATGGGCAGATATTTCTAAATCTTTAGAAAATAAAATACAGATAACAAATCTTTATTTGTACTTGAAACAAAGTAGAAATGACGTTCGTTCTCGTGTTGAAAATTATAAAGGCATTTCTGTGCAAGATATAAAACATTCGCTCTGTTTTGATTCATGTAATACGAGTATAAATACAACTACAGAAGACGTTAGTATTGAAAGCACTGTTCGTAGTGATAATGAATCGGTATGTGTTAAAACTGGCGACGAATGCTCAACAATTTTATATACCATAACGATTGATGCTGAAAAATGGCAGCGTATAAGTCCAAAAATGGCAATATATAAAGAACATGGTAAATATGGTAGTAGACGAAAATATTCGATATTGCAACGAGGATGGATGGATGTGATATCTAAATTATGTTGGTCTAAAACTAAAATCCCATGCGTCTATACTTTCAAAAGAGCGAAAGTATATGATTCTGTAAATGGCCTGTATATTACAATCTTTGGTAGATGTAAAGATTGTTACGCATCTTTTAGCGCGCATTCTAATACAAAAGTACTAAAGTAGGAGATGATGTAAAATTATTTGTAAAGACAGTGGATACTAGGGGAATACCTCACCAAAAAAAAAGAGCTTTGAAAGGCACAGAAAGAGAAGCAGTTCAAAAAGATCTTTTGCATAATAAAGCGGTCGTTTGGCATCGCGAAATGACAAAAGAAATGGAATATGGCGATCCTGAACCGAGCCACTTATATGCCACCGATGTGTTAAGAAAAGCACGTCAAGAAGACAAAGACAAAGAATTAGGTGTACACAAGATGCATAAAAAATGTTATTGAATCTATAAATAACTTAAAATATAATGTTGAGTACGCCGGTGTAATACGAGAAATTGGATTAGACAAATTTTATTGCATGTACTGGACACCATTGCAAATAGATAAGAATGTTGTAAAATTAAGTAATCCTATTTCTATCAACGCTACTGGCTCCCTTGTACAAAAAATAAACCGAAAAAGTAAAAGATCTAGTGCAATTTTCTTATATCAGGCGGTTGCAGCTGGAATAAGTGGAATTGTACCATTATTTCAGATGTTATCTGAAAAGCACGATGCTAATATAATACAATATTGGATGAGCGAGTGGTTACGTTGCGGAGGTAAAATACCGTGTGAGGTTATTACTGATTTCTCATTTGCACTGTTAAATGCTGTTGCACGTGCGTTTAATAATTGTAGCTTATCGCATTATATTAAGATATGTTTACAATACCTAAATTATGAGAACGTTACTATACCAATTTGTCGCATACGTCTGGACATCGCACATGTTATAAAAATGGTTGCTAAATGGTCATGCTTTCGTGGGAAAGCTCCACGAATCAAAGATTTTTATTTGCGATGCGTCGGATTTTTAACGACTATCAAATAAAAAAATCAATTTAAAGATGTTTTGCACTCAATGTTAATTGTAGCACTTAGCGAATGCGACGATAACGGTACTGAATGTGCAAACAAGCAGAAATTTCTCTTAGAAATATTATGCAAATTTACGATCGATAAAGACAAAAATCTGGATGAAGAAAGTGATTCCAATGACAAACACTTGTTAGATGAAATAGATGTTGTAATAGAGGACGACAATTCGTTTCGGTTTGATAAATTATGCGCTAGTGCAAAAGACTTCGCTGAAAAAACACATTCAGGTCAACGACCTGACCCATATTATTGTCCAGATTTCGTAACCCCATTTATGCGATTTGCAAAGTATTACGTTTTATGGACAAATGTCATGGTGCAGGAAACTGACACGAAATATTCCGTAGCTTCATCGGCTAGGTCAGAGGCCTATTTTAACGATATTAAAAATATCACATATAGCGATGAAGGTAAATCGATAAGAGCAGATAAATTTATCGTCAAACATGTGCACTCTATCGATAGTATCTGCAAAATTGAAAGGGCAGCGCTCGACAATCGTGCTAATATACAAAAGGACAGTTTCGTGGAAACAAATGAATTTAAAAAAAATATCCATCAAGTTATCGGTGAAGCAGATACTTGCAGTGTTGAGCCATATTCAGATGCCGAAGAAAATTGGCGTGGATTAAATCCCCCGAAAAAATTAAAAGAAAACGCCACGGTAGACTTAAATACCGCCGGCGGTATTTAAGTTTTTGTATTAAATTACGAATTTCCGTTATAAAGGGTATAGCAATTAACTACTTCATTTACACGCTATATGTATACTATATATTATCGTGAATAATAATTACTTCTAAATGTAGCATCAGCGTCATGAATCTATAAACTTGGCGCGAGACACTACCATGTCTCGTGAACTACCAAAACCGATCGATTTCGAAATTTATTTATCAATAACTTTGCAACTATGGGTGTGCAAACGAAAAATCGGCCTGTTTCGAAATGTGCAAATGAAAACCTATCGAATAGCGTCATTTTGAACGCCTTATCTGCGTTTCGATCTTATCCACCGCCGTCGACCGCTCTGAAGACTTTAATTGTTAATAACTTTTTAACCAAGGGGGTGCAAACGAAAAATCGACCTGTTTCGGAATGTGCAAACGAAAATCATCGATTTAGTCTAGTCCGATCTAATTTGCTCATGGTTGGGGGGCTAGTGTGAAGTTGCCCCCCCCCCCCAAAATTGTTTTGTTAATAACTTTTTTATTAGGAGTGTGCAAACAAAAAATCGAATTGTGCATACATGTGCATACGATGAGCAATCAAATGGGCTATAGAAACTTTTTTTTTTCAATGTTGGGGGGCTAACTTCACACGGGTTGTTTGAAGTCACTGGTGTATAATCAACTAATAAATTCTTATGTTCGTATTTAATCGGGAAATGGGGGAGGATGAAAAGGGACAGAGATACTTAAAAAAAATCGCGTGTCGAAAGTTCTGTGTACGGCCGACAACCCTAATCGGCGCACAGTTTAAAGTCGAAAAATATTCGTAAAGACAACATCTTTATACTGTTATCGCGACAAGTATAATATTACCACATGCCTCAGTGGTCGAATTGGTGAGACGCCCGCCTAGAGTGTAGGGAGGTCCAGGTTCAAACCCTGGCTAAGGTAATATTTTTCGCAATAAATTTTCTATATTATTAAAACTGCCAGAAATGGTCAAGAAAACAATGACGTTGTTAATTACTGCTGGCGACATTAAGAATATTCTTATTAGTTAAATAAATTACTTAGTACTTCCGTCTCTCAAAGAACGTAAAATCAAACGTAAAATCAAGATTGCGTTGGCATATTATAATCACTCGGGGGCTTTGAAAATCAATCGCGAATAGAAAAGCAAAATAATCAGGAAAACGACACGAGTGTAATAATAATATTTGCGCGGAAGTGCGATGCGTGAGGAGGTAACGCTATGCGACGGATCGCGCGGCGACGATCTCCCCGGAATACGCTTCATAAA